CATACCTGGTATGAACCCCACTTGGTCATGATGAATGATTTTCTTGATATGTTGTTGGAGTCTATTGGCTAGGATTTTGTTGAAGATTTTTGCATCCATATTCATGAGGGATATTGGTCTGTAGTTTTCCTTTTGAGTGATGTCTTTTCCTGGTTTTGGTATTAAGGTTATGCTTGCTGGCTTCATTTTTAAGTCCTTACATAGCTTTGCTCTCGTGTTAGAGCTTTTTACAAATGCATAAACATTGCTTTAGCCTGCACTTATAATGCAGGGAGAGAAGGATATTGAAGGCTACAAGATGGGACACCTATTACAATCTAGAAAACTATGTAAGAAATTCTGCAACTATAAGATCAAAGAGATGTCTGCAGCCCTTCTTCAAACAGTTCTTTAATTCTAATATATCTAGTGCCCAACGGTACCTTCCTGGACATAAGCAGCTCTTTCATCCACCTTCACCACAAAATCAGTAGCACTTTCAACATATAGGGAGAAGGGGAAGCCCTAGACTTATTACAGCTGGCTAAGCAGAGATTAAAACAATGAGTGACTCCAAACACTAAGCTTTGTATCTTCAGCTGAATAAAAATAGATTAAAAACAGACATATTTAAACCACACAGTCAATAAATATGATACTGCTTACTATGTATGTGGTACCATGTGGGTTATAAAAGAATAGCTTATTGTCTTGAAATACCTTCTCCCCACCACTTATACCCCTAACCACTTTTTCAGTATGAAATAAACTTCTATCTCTTGTGTAAGAAATTGCCTTTGCTTAGAGCCAGGGCAAGAAAATGAGAGCAAAAAAATGGTTTTGTCCCCCCTGAAAGGGCCACCTGCGGGAGCTTTACCTCTAAGCCATGAGGCGAGATCTTCAGGTACTCGCTGACATCATTGCTATTCAGCATAGCCCTTATATTATTCAAGTCCACTTTCTCATAGGTCAGCTGCCTACCTTCTTTTAAAACTGCAAAAGAAAAAGCAGTCATGTTTCTAAGGTAGGTGTCATAGGTAGCTGTCATCTTAGTCAAGGACATCTTAGTCAAGGAGTTAAATGGCAGAACTGATAGGGGAGATTTATAACCTGGGTTTTGCTGCTACACTACCATATAAAGACTAATCAAGAAAATGCCAGGAAAGGAAGCCCTGCTAGGTTATGCTTCTCTTCCTTACAGTCATTATTTTACATGAAACAAAATCCAAATTGCACTCTGTCAGAATTATTCTTTAACCGCCATTACACAGGCTGTGGACCAAGTTCCTTCCCACATTGCTGGTGTAGGAGCAGGGGGTTACTGTCCACTGTAATAGTGCTTTAGCATATGAATTTAGTTCTACAGCCCTCGGAAAAGTTTGTAATATGGTTTCAGATGTATGGCAAATACTCATAAAGGAATTGGCAAATGATTATAGATGGTATGTTACTGAATAATGAACTAGTGTACAAGACTAAGCCTTAGTGGAATTCAGAAGAAGAGAAAAGGCAGCAAAGACCCTCAGGGTGCAGATAAGACATGAGCTGGGTTTTTAACACTAAAGTTGGGATGGGAGAAGAGTAAAGAAAGGGAATTCCAAGTGAGGGGGAACAGGCTCAGAGGTAAGAATGATCAGGATCTATGTAGGACAGTGATTAGATGGTCTTCATTGGAAAGAGTTGATTAGGCAGTGCCGTATTGATACAGCAGGAACCAGGACGCCAATAAAGGTTTTTGAACAGGCGAGTACTATCATTAAAAGCACTACATCTAATTCTTGTCTGAAAAGTCCCAAGTATACTCTTCTGTAGAATATAGCCAACCTTACTAGTTGAGGAACTTTAAGGAAGGATTCACACTTGCTGTTGATTCTACAAAAGACATGAGTTTGGAAATGGAAACAAACATTTTAAAAAAGGAACAACCCACTCACAGAGATTGTCTAAGCTCCACTGGGCACAGAAGCCAACTTGACGTTTCAGATAATCAGGATCATCAGCCCATGACTCCAATGTGATAAGCCGATTACTAATACTGGATTCAGAGATAGTCAATTTATTTTCACCTGTTAGGAAAGATGTGAACCTTGAATTAACAATGAAAAGAGGAGGAGGATTTGTTGGGCAGCCCAGTGGGGTAAGAAGTCAAGAGAGGTACTTCCTTAAAAGTTTCTAGGAATGACACAACCAAAGAGCTTTCACCGCTTTCACGAACGTGGCAACCTCATTACTACGTTTACAACCATAAGACATGGGTCACCAAATTCTGATTCTTAGGAAAGAAAACCTTTGCCTTTGTCTCTATTTCATCTCATTGGCTTTGAAGCATCTACTCCGACAAAAACTGAATGTATGCATGTTTGATGGGGTTCAACGTGCATAGGATAAGAAATATAGTATTTTTAACCACCAATACAGAAGATCATTAGTGCAAGAAGTAACTATACCTACTTGTCTGTGCAAACTTTTCCAGTGCGATAAGTGCAAATAGCATGACTGTGGGGTGGGACTGTAGCTTCTGAAAGACAACAAAAAATGAAAAGAAAACATCACTGCTCTGCAGAAGCAACAAGTTAGCAACTGCACCTTCTTGCCCAGTATGTGATAGATTCTATTGGAGCAGTCAGAAGTTTCACTCATTTAAGCCCTAGCTTATCCATTTGGCAAATACTGTTAGTAATGAAGAACCAAGATGAAGTCTCTCAATCTTATTTATTTATTTTGGTGAAATCACTGGGTTAGTTTATAGGTAAGGAAATTTCAAAAGTAATTTAACAAAAAGAAATTTGTTCAGTGTACTATAATTTTTTACTTAGTAACATTACAAGTTTGTTAAATAATGCTGTTTTTATTTTCCTTTAAACAAGGCAAATTTAGGATTATAGGTAAAATCACTTTTTGTTCAGAACCCTAACAAAAACCAGTAAGTTCCAAAATTATAAATAATGTGATTAACAACTAATGGCTGAATTTCCAATCCGTTTCCTGAAAAGAACTCTCCAAATGCTGACAGCAGGTGGGAGAGAGCAGCAAGTTGACTCTCATAAACCACCATCCTCCCTGGCTACAAAGTCTGTTCAGCATCCTATTTCTTGCCATATCCAGTCTCAACCCCCTGCCTGACTTTTCAGGCCCTGAATCCCCCCTCACACACACCCCTGGCTACTTAGTCTTATGTCTGTCTATCCCTGAACACTGTCTTCTCTGATCCTATCAATCTCTGCAACACACCAGGAACATGGTCATTTCTCTTTGGGCTTCTGTCCATGGTGTTCCCTGCCCAGAAAGCCATTATTTCCTCCTCGGTGCATGACCAAATCCTAACCTTCTGGTCTGACCCAGCTAAGGTCCCCTCTGCATTAGGAAGTCTCTCCTGACTTTCCCAGCTCTCACCACCCACACCTTCCTCACCTTCTCTCAGAGCTCCTATGGTCCTTAGACTGAAGGAGGCAATTTTGCTCTGGATCACATCCTGTCATAAAAGGGAGACTAATTGTCTTGTCTGGGTAGTTTTGTTCCCTCAATTAACCAGTAAACTTCTTAGTGGCAAAGGAGTATTTTAATGCTTAGCATAGTGTTGTTTTAAGCACACACCATAAAGATTAACACAAAATAATACCTTTCAGATCTTAGTTTTGAAAAAACCCAGTGTTCACTAAAGAGGCCCACAAAAATAGCTTTTAAAAACGCAGAGTAGGCAAGACTACAGCCTAGAAGTGTGAGAAATCTGGAGGTATAATCTTAATAAATCCAAGCTTCACAGACAATATCTTGAATTCCCCAATGCCAAAAGTTTTAAGAGCAGTCAGGGGGTGGGGGAGACAGAAGTAGTGATTTACATATACTGGGAATCTGATAGTCTCCTGACCTGAAATGTCATGTAATTTTGTTTCCACTGCGGAGGTCTCAACTACTATTTGGAATCAGACCAACCCAGCTGTTTTGGCTTGTAATAAATTTTTACTCCACTCTGTCTCTCTCTCTCTCTTTTTTTTTTTAATAGAAGGAAATAAATAAATGCTCAGGAAACATCTGCAAATAAAATTTATTATGGATTCCATTCTCTGTGTCAGTGGCTATGCTGGCAATTTAAGAAAATGTACAATTCTGGATGACTAAGTGTTGATGTCTCACTTACCAGACACTGTAGCAAATATTCCAGTATCCCTGGACTAAGCAAACCTATACTTGCAGGACCTAGATGAACAAAACAAACACTGGCTATAATTAAGTGTGCCATACCATTTTTAACTAATAACAAATCGGTAACACTTTACCTTTTGCCAAGTACTTTCATGCACATTATCTTATTTAACCCTCACCCTCTGAAGCAGGAAATAATACTGTCCTCATTCCACAGCTGAAGGACTGAGCCCACAGAGTGAAATCCCTTACTTGGGGAGCACATGGCAAAGTCTAAACCATCACCCACTTGTTCTGATTTCTAATCCATTGTTTCTTGCACTAATCATGCTGTAACTGACTGACTATTCACTTGTACACTGATGTCATTTCCTAAAATGGGTCATATTCATAAAGATGTTAAATATCTACTTCTCAAGAACTGTTCCAATCTAAAGGTCTTTTTACTTTTTTCCTACTTTGTATCCCTTCATTATTGAACTAATCTTTGTAAAGTAACTGTGTGTGTGTATTTATCTTCCTTTGTTATACTACATTTAGCTTTTCCATTTATTTTTAATTATAAAGCAAATAAGAAAAACATTTTTCTTTTAAATTTCCTTCAGAAAAGTCACAAAACCTAAATTATATAGCATCTACTCTCTGGCTTTTGAGTAATTATTTTTTTCCAGTTAGTTCCTGTCCCTCAATTTTATTTTTAAGATCCTTATTTTGGGTGCAGCAGATTTGATCAATGACCTGCATTACAATCTTCCCCTTAATGCCAACAACTTCAGATCTTCCTTTGTGGAGCTTCCCAGAGTTACCTGCTAGTTTTTCAGCCAAGCAGCCTAGGACTGCAGATGTGTTCCTGTGTTTGGCAGGATGGCCTGAGTCCTGGCAAGCTACTTCTCCATTTAAATTAAGAATTTCAGTCAATTTCTGGAGTGCATCCTAAAAACAAGAATGCACAGGTGGATTTGATATATACACTATTCCATTCTGTTCCAAGATAATTCTTTGAAACCTAAGTTTTGTTTACCAGGTGTTAAACAAACTCAGAACAATCATACAAAAATGATAACAATGTACTAACAATATACTCAATTATATCACCACTGATGGGAAATAGAATTTGATCAACCTGAAAGTTACCTGACCTGATAGATCCTATTTCATTCCAAAATGTACCAGGTGCACAAAAATAGCAAAAAAAAAAAAAAAAAAGAGGAGCTGCTGAGGTTGCTTATGTACAAGCAAATACCTCATGGGATTTGGTTCCTTGGTTTGGAGGTTTAGGGTCACTCATGGTTTCATGGAACATTCAAGCTAACTTGGTTAAGTAACATGTTTAGTGCTTCTATTCTACCTCCTGGTTGTATAGTGCCTGGGGTCCTAAAAGCTTGTAAGTGGCCATCTGAGGCACAGTTGGTCTCTATTCACCTGGAGCAAGAGGAAGAAGGAGAGTCAGGAATAGAAGGAGGATAGCTGCCACCATGAACAACGGACTTCTTTGCCATGAGACCAGAACCGCATGATGTTTGGCTACCATTATGGAACATTTTGATCAAAGATTCCATAGAAGAATCCTGATCAAAAGAGAGGAAATGCAGAACAGAATTTCAAATTCGCTTAGACTCTAGATTTTCTATAACCATGAAAGGTGGATGAACCTCTGAAATTATTGCCCTGAGATTATCTTTAAACTTTAAACTAAAAATATTCCCTGAAGTTTTCTTAAAACCAAATAATAGTGTAGCTTAACTAGTAGAAAAAGGTCAGCCTTAAGCATTATGCTCTTTTAAGAACTATCTATGTGAATTCGAAGAGGCAACCTGAAAGATTAGATAGGAACCTTAGGGGCAGGGAGTAAGGGAGTAAGGGAGGAACAATTCAGAAAAGGAGGGTGAGAATGTTTACGTAATCGATGTCACTAAATTGTACATGCAGACACTGCTGAATTGGTGTATGTTTTTCTAGGCATATTCTCAACCACAATAAAACAAATAAAATTTAGGGAAAAAAAAGTACCAGTTGTATCAAATATATGCTATATTATTAAGTCATTAAACGGACTAAACCCACCTACATGCTATTAATGACTGCTAATATTAGGGCCTAGTGACATTAAGTTACTTTGTAAAAATTTTTTTACCAAGCAAAAACAAATCCCACTAAAATTTTAGAAGAAAATAAAATAGAAACCTCTTATTAGCCCAGGCAAAGGTCACTTCCATCAATGACTAGGCCAAAGACTTTTCCCTTTTACCCATAAAGTTGTTTTCCACCCTAGGTCCAAATGTCTGAGGCTTAAACAGAAATGGGGGATGCCAGAATCCAAATTAAAAAACAACAACAAAAGGATTCAGTACAACATAAGGACTAAGGCAATGAAAATTTGAAACTTTCACTTCATAAAGGACAACAAAGGTTACAGCAATCCTTAATATGTTTGAGTAAGACATAATAATGGTTCAAAATAATGGTTTTTCTTTCAAATAGAAAAAGTTTAAACAACTTTTGATATGAGGAAATTGCTTAGAGAAAAATAAGGAAATCAACTCAGCAGCTGAACATTCTCTTCCAGTTTCTGAACAAAGATTGCCATTGCATATACACACGCTTCCATTTTTAATATTTTTTTCAATTTTACACTAAAAAGCAATAGTAAGCAATTTATAGAAGGAGGAGGTAGTACTTCATTCGTAATAAAAGACAAATTTAAAATGACATTAATATTGAATAAGGCAAATAAAGATGCAGTACATCAAATGTTTTTTGTGACCATTCATCCTAGGTTTAAACATAGATGATAGTTTCATAAAAATTAAGTGTTAACTTACCTTAGTGGGCAATGGACATTCATCTAGTAACAATGTTATAACAGCTGGTCCCAAGGGATCTTCCAATGGAATAACTCTAATTAAAGACTGGACAACATCTAACCATCCTTCATCTATAAGCAAATCAAGATCATGTTAGAGCCACAATTTTTAAAATTTGAAAATATTTAATAATTTACAAGGTCATGCAAGATGATATCACATTAAAATCAAAACACTTTTGGCCCTCATCCTATACCTGTTAAAACCCACAATCAAATACACTGCTGTCTAGTTGGCTCTGACTCATAGTGACTCTATAGCACAGAGCAGAACTGTCCCATTAGGTCTCCAAGGCTGTAATCTTCATGCAGTGTTTCATTCTATTATACTATGAGTTGCTATGAGTCGGAGCTGACTCAACAGCACCTAACAACAACAATAATCTTTATGGAAGCAGAGTGACTCTTCTTTCCCCCCCAGAGTGGCTGGTGGGTTCAAATTGCCATCCTTTTGGTTAGTAGCCAAGTGTTTAACTATTGCACCACCAAGGCTCTTTCCTGTAGCTGTCAAGTAGCTAATAGTTAGCATGGACATGATTCCCAATTGTAGTCATCATGGTGGAGTAATCAAAGAACTCTAATTTACAGGAGTCTGGTGACTCTTGGGATCTTTATTTGGAGAAAGTTCAAGCTATGGTCTCAGTTCTCAAGTTATGATTAAAGTAGTTTTAAGCACCTAATTTGTTCCATAGGAATTAAGTGGGAAGACTAAATATACTAAGCAGTTGGCTTTGTTTTCAGAATGATGCTTAGGAAATTGAAGAACAAAAAATTATCCTGCCTATTCTGGAACAGTTATGGTCAAAGATGTCAACTAAAAAATTAAAATAACATTTCAATAAGTTCAAGTGAGATAAAACCATCACTGAGAGGTACTGCTATACCGAGGACTTTTTCTTTATCTTGTGTCCTAAGTATCTGGGATCTTTTGGTCACTGTGTGAAACACTGCCAGATACTCATTACAAGGGTAAAGGACCCTGAAGAAGGATGCTCCATAAACAAAATCTAGATCTACGTGGTTCCCCTGGATGCAAAGAAAACTCTGTCGGACTGTCTCAAGTAAAATGAGACACTGAAAAGTCACAAAGATCTCAAGTCCAACTAGGTTTCTAGGTTTACCCACTGGCAGAAAAGACGGGAAAGATGGCAAAATAGCCATTTAAGTTTTCTTAAGAAAACTTCTAGCCCAAACCACATTATTTCAAAATATGAAACCAGTAATGCCATATTCCTCAAGAGTAAGTATTCCCTTTCATCTGAAAAAACAAACTAAAAAAAGATGGTAGCATTTCTTCATAGTCATTAATCCACAAGGAAATATTAAAACTTTAAAAATACCTGTTTCTGCCATTTCGTGCAATGTAATCATTGAGTAGGGAGGTTCCTGGTCACTGAAAAACAAACATTCAAGACATCAAACTTGAGGAAATAACAAATGGCAATTCCAAATAAAACTTTAAACTGGAAGCATGGAAGTAAAAATGTGAAGTGGGTAAATGAACATGAAGGATTTGAGGAAGGGATGGAAGAGATGTACAAGAACTATAACCTTTAAGGACAAACGCACACCAGGTGTGCTCATTTTCCAAGGTCACTCTCTGTGAAAGCCCGAAATGTAATGGGCAGATGGTAACACAGAAGGACTGCCATGTGGCCTGAGTACAAAGCACAGGACTAAAGCTAGAGAACAAGTCTACTCTCAGCTTCATCAGATGAGGTATTACAGGAAAGTCAATGTCATCTTCCTCATACTTATTCTAAAGAAATGCCAGGAAGAGAGATAATTCCAACTGGAGACTTACAGAACAACAAGGACCTTGTAAATAATTTCAGTTTTGAATTTTCTTCCGGGAAATACAAGCACACCTTGGACATATTGCGGGTTTGGTTGCAGACCACCAAAATAAAGTGAATTCATAATAAAGCAAGTCACATGAATTTTTTTGTTTCCTAGTGCATATTAAAGTTATACTTATACTATATTAGAGTCTATTAAGTATGCAAGAGCATTATGAAAAAGTTTGAAATACTGTGAGAATTACCAAAATGTGACACAGAGACACGAAGCAAGCACATGCTGTTGGAAAAATGGCACTGACGGACTTTCTCGACACAGGGTTGCCACAAACCTTCTATTTGTAAAAAATGCTGTGAGGCAAATAAAATGAAGCACAATAAAACAAGGTATATCTGTATTCCTACATGTTTAAACTTCCTTAAAATGGTGCCAGATGAAAGTAACCAGACTTAACTGACGAACTATTTAATATTCTTGACACTGCTCTAAAAGGGCACTGCATATCTTAATTTAGTAGGTTTCAAATGAAATCCAAGGAGTTGCTTTAGGGGAACTTCAATAATGAAATATTTACCACCAACCAATGATATACGTTATTGCTTAGGGAATATGCCCTCCGCATATTTGTTTACATATTGTGCCTCTCTACTTTACTATTAAAATGAAACAAAACCCAACGACTCTTGTTTTTAATCATTTAATTCTCAGAATAACCTTACGATATGGCAGTTACTGTGTTCATTTCAGGTACTCACTGGGTGCTGTCTGATATCTCCTATACCCTTTCACAATAAGGGAAAGTTACTATTTAAAATAATTGTTTTAAACAACATACCTGACTGATGAAAACATTTCTGGAGAACAATTTGGCAATAATGAATGAAATTAAGTATGCACATGTCCACAAAACTTGCAAATGCCAGAGAAACTTTCACACAGGTCCATAAAGAGACATATATGAGGCTGTTCATGGTAGTGTTATTTGTAGGAACAAAATTTTGGATGCAACCTAAATGACTATCACCAGATGAAAGAATAACAAAAATAGTACATTCAAGTATACAAATGAATCCTCTAGTCATCAGAAGCAGTGCTGTCAATTTATACACAGTAATATAAATCTCAAACACAATGTTGAGAGAAGGTAAAAACTGATCAACTATATCACTTATGTAAATTTTCAAAAACACATACAATGCACTATATATATTCTTCCTATACAGACATAAACAAACATAAGGCAGGCAGATTGGAAGAACATACCTTAAATTCACCTACTGATTTGGAGGTGGGTGGTAGGGAGAAGAAAAGGATTAGAGAAAAAGTGAAAAATAATATGACAAAGGGTCACCAACCAATAAGAAATGTGAGCACCTACATTCTGTACAGAGGTTCTTAAAGTACACACACTCTTACACTCAAAGAATAAAATAAACTCATTTGCAGAAAAGAAAGACAGAGAGGAACTTTCTGGTGGGAGGCAGAAGTTAAAGCTATAGGATTACTGGGCTTGGGGTCAGGAACTGGACAGAAGTGCCTAGCAGTTTTATGCCCTCTGGGTAAAGGGGATTGAAACACCTGAGCAGGGGAAGGAGCCATACTCATTAAGTGAAGCTGGGCAGGCTTCTCCTGATAGTAAAGGAACCAGAAAAAAAAAAAGATATGAATGATAATCTGAGCTAAAATGGCATAAAACTACAAGTTTGGAGTGAAAGAGAAAGGCAGAGAAAACTATACAATAAGACCTAGACTTCTCATAGTGGGATGGGAAACCAGAGCTATCAATTTTAGGTTCAGTCATGAACTGAGGGTCCTTGGGACCCAGATGGAAACAACTAAAAAAAATAATAGATAGGAAGAGATGTGCATAGGGAGGGAGGGAAAACGAGAGGGTGAGAAGGGAAGGCAGAGAGCGATAACATGAGCGTATATTCAAGCGAGAGAAAAAACTTCCAACAGGAGTCTGGAAATTACAGTTCCAGAGCACATGAGGATAACTGACATTAAGAAAAGCCTGAAGATAAAATCACTACCAGAAATCTGCAAGTAATAGAATTTCCAAGTGTTTAAAGAACTGTGGTTAATTTTCATAATTTGTGGTATTTAAGCTCTCTACAGTTTCAGTGAACACTGAATTAGAGAACACTGAAGCATAGCTCCTAGGGAAAATTCAGGGTTAGGGTCTTGTGAGCCCCTGGTCACAATATTTTCATCTGATCAATACATAACCTTGTTTTGTATGTGTTTCTGTTTAGACACCTTATTTAATATACATTATTGAGTCATTAACATTGAACTTACAGCCAACAGCACCATAACTCTTGTCTTGAAGGAAGTTCAACATGCATATTTGCTCTGTCAGGCACATCAAAGTCTCCTTGTCCTTAAAGGAACACTAGACAGCACTTCAGCACTCTGTTTGGGGGCCATTTTAAACAGTGAAATCACCAACAAAAGCCACAAAAATTTAAAAAGTGAGGCACTAAACACTCTGAAAAGGCCACCTGCTTATAGCATGGGAGCTGAAACAAGAAGGCAGAGCCTCACCTTACGCAACCTCAGCTGGAAAC